ATATACATATACTTCAGTGCGTTGAAATCTACTATCATCCTGTTTATAATAAAAAACCGAAACGACAATTTCTTCCAACATATTTTGTTACTGCGCATCGAGATATATAAAGTATGCAAGTTTTGAAAAAATTGAAAAAAGGATCACATGTCTTTGAACATTTATCTTGTTGTTTCTACTTACTCGAATACACTGCTATCATTTTGATCACCCCATATGAGAATTTCAGCTATCGAACGCAGAGTTTCAACCAGTAAACCTCTGTTGTTTTCAGACACAGTCTGATTTTTTGACAGCACATTATACAAATACCTGATAAAGTATAATAGATAAATGTATAAGATATATACTCGTGCTTCCTTCAATAACATGATAGTAGAGTGCATTAATCGATTATCCTTACTTACTTGAGATGCTCCGGGGAATGGGGATTTTTAGGCTTCCAAAGTCCGCCACCGAACCAGCTTCGACTTCGAAACATTTTCAATTATCTTGAGCGCAAAAGGATATGCCTACATTCGCATTTCATCCAAATTCCTTTCGTAATAGTTTATCTCTCATGCGACAATCGCGGGAAGACGTCGTTTCATCATGCTCGTGTAATCTGTGCCAGTGTATAAATAATATTATATCGAGATATATAAGAGTTACATTGTATTATATTGTATATTCACACAAGGTTAGGATTTTAATTCTCTTCATGTGAGCAATTTTTTGCGATTCGTATTATATATACGTTCAGTTCGAATTCATTGGCCTTATGTTAATAGTATGTTGACCTGTATGTTATCATTCTTTTAATCAAACCGTTGAATTTTACACGAATTTTAAAGAAAACGGTATTCAGTTTGAAATCCAACTTTCTCATTACGTTCAGAATAGAAATACGATTAGGTTAAGTTAAACTCAGCTAGAATTAGGTTAGGTTAGGTTAGATTAATATCGGCTGTGTTCCAAAATTCACTGCCAGTACTGGAAATCTACAGTTCATGTTCAGGTTGTGTTTTGTGTTCCGATTTCCCACCCAGGTGCACCCGATATTAAGTTTGCTCGCGTTGCTTGAATTTTTTGCACTCAGCATCTTTGCTTTCACTCTCTTCAACATCCGAATATATATTTATCTCGTTTTCAGTGCAGAACTTTTTGGGAATTTCAAGCAACGCGAACAAACCTATAATGGGTGCTTTCCATTTAGTGACTCAAGTCGACACAAGTATCATTCTATCTTCTTTCAATACCAGTGAACAACAAAGATAGAATGATGCTTGTGTCGACTTGAGTCACTAAATGGAAAGCACTCATTGGGGTTACGGTTGACAGTTGCGGATTGACCAATCAGCCGGCAAGCTGTTTTGCTCCGATTGGTCAATCCGCAAATATCAACCGTAACCTCAACCGCAATTAAACTCGCAACCCGTAGTGTAATACGGCCTTAAGTTTCACTTTTAGGATGCCATTACATGAAGCGCGGAAACGCGGATTAGCGTAACGCGGAACGGAAAGGGAACCAATCGCGAGCGTAACAAAAACTGCAGAATGGTCGCGATTGGTTCCACTCTCGTTCCGCGTTACGTTAATCCGCGTTTTCGCACTACATGTAATGGCACCCTTAGCGTTTTTGAATGAACGGGTTAACCCAACCCGGTTCAATTAATCACTATATTTTACTATAAATTCAAGTCTTTTATTGGCAGAGACGATGCAATGACGTCATTAATCGCTCTGAGAGCGATTAAACCTGCTACATTCAAAAACGCTATTTATTTCAAAGATACACAATCGATCCCCTGAAAGCTTATTACGGTTCTTGAAACGAGGTGAAAATTACAAAAATGAACAGATTTACTATATTTCGACAAATGAAAGTGTAGATACTCTAGGGAATTTCCCCATTTTTGTAAATGGGCGCGTTCAGGAGACACAACCGTTGAGCATCGTCTTGTCAACACTCGACGTTAATTTGTTGGTTCTAGAAGTAAGAACCAATCACGTTCGATTGCCACTCAACAGTTGTGTCTCCTGAACGCACCCATTTTCACTTCGTTTCAAAAACCGTAATAGGCTCCCAGGGTATCAATCATGTAACTTTTCCCCTAGGGCAAAAAGGTGAAAAATTTTACCATTGTTTTCAATGCTAATATTTTTCACTTTTCCGCCCTAGGGAAAAAGTTACATGATTGGTACCCTGGTGACATTTAATTGAACACATTGGATCTATTGGCCAGTTGAACACGAGATTCTCCGATTGGTAATTCGCGCTGGTTACCCTAGGCATCGATCGATATCAATGGTTGTGTCCAATCTCGCCGTATCCAATGAACATCTCCCGTTGCGATAGTCGCAACATCGTTCGAGATGGCACATTAAGCCCGTTCTACATTGATCGCATGTCGCCAGTCGCAAGCAAATCGACCAATCACAGTCGATTATTCCGTCGAATATTCGACTGTGATTGGTCGATTTGCTTGCGACTGGCGACATGCGATCAATGTAGAACGGGCTTAATGTGCCATCTCGAACGATGTTGCGACTATCGCAACGGGAGATGTTCATTGGATACGGCGAGATTGGACACAACCATTGATATCGATCGATGCCTAGGGTAACCAGCGCGAATTATCAATCGGAGAGTCTCGTGTTCAACTGGCTAATAGATCCAATGTGTTCAATTAAATGTCACCAGGGTACCGATCATGTAACTTTTTCCCTAGGGCGGAAACGTGAAAAGTGAAAAAACTTTTTCCCTAGGGCGGAAAAGTGAAAAATATTAGCATTGAAAACAATGGTAAAATTTTTCACCTTTTTGCCCTAGGGGAAAAGTTACATGATTGATACCCTGGGAGCCTATTACGGTTTTTGAAACGAAGTGAAAATGGGTGCGTTCAGGAGACACAACTGTTGAGTGGCAATCGAACGTGATTGGTTCTTACTTCTAGAACCAACAAATTAACGTCGAGTGTTGACAAGACGATGTTCAACGGTTGTGTCTCCTGAACGCGCCCATTTACAAAAATGGGGAAATTCACTAGCGTATCTACACTTTCATTTGTCGAAATATAGTAAATCTGTTCGTTTTTGTAATTTTCACCTCGTTTCAAGAACCGTAATAAGCTTTCA